GCCTCAAAGGTGAGAGGTGTAAACAATAGTTCCAAGAGCCACCCTTACCTGATCGTTGCCCACCCACAGAAGTTCCTGTAGATCATCAAAGGTAACCGCGCTGGCGGGAGTGGGAATCGCATGCAGCCCTGACGAAGGCACTGCGATGCGAGTGATCTCATCCCAATCTGCCTCCATGGGCAAACTGGTGCCGACGTTGTTGAGTTATTGTAGATCTGGAGGACGATGCATGATGGCAGCAAGCGTTTTGAGTGATGAAAGGTCTTCGAGGGCGATTTGGTTTAACAGCGTGCGGACTAGGTCATATCATCATGGCCGTTTGTCGTCGATCGTCGTTTGTCGAGATGGATAGTCCAGGTAGTGATAATTGATGGTTGATGGTTGGAAGTTGAGGGCAGGCGCAGGAGTAGCAGCCCTGGCCATAAAGTGTAGAAAGTGGCTGTGATTTCGGTGACTGCGGCTTGAAACTGTGGCGTCACCAGCGGCAGCGCCGCCTTCAGCTTCTCGCCATGATGCATTTGTGCATCCATGTCAAACTCCCCACGTCTATCAATCTCAATCTACTCGTTCTCCTGCTACTCGCCCTTTGCGCGACTTCACTAGTTCGACTTAATTGTTGCTGTATTTGGCTGACACTGATATCTCTCTACTCAATTCACTGCCCGCTTCATCTCCCACCACGTTGTCACAGCTGATTTATCGAGAGGGCCACGCCATCAACTAGTGCCTGTATCTCGCTTGTCACCTATTTATTCCCCACAGCCCACGACTGAAGCTTGCCTCGTCACACTCTCTAACTATCACGAGCCCACAGAAACATTCTCATCTGCTAACACGACAACGATGAGTAGTTACGAGAGTAAGCACGATGCCTTCATGCTACGCCGACGGGGTTGACGCTTTCTAGCTGAACATGCCTCTGACCCACCAAATGGCAGTCAAAGCCAGTCACGCCGACCCGATCTCTCCACCTTCCTGAGTCTTCTCTCTGAAGTCACGCCCGACCGACCAGAAGAACGAGCTCGTGAAGGGGCCGTTCCCGTTCCTGCCGATGTCTCGGCCGTCTTTCGCTCGCTTGCAGAGGCATTCGAAGTAATGCGTAGGGTTAACGACAACGCCGACTCCAACTTGCTCGAGAGCATGATCCAGAACCTGATGGACACTGCCGAACGACCTCCTCGGGAAGTCAAGGGTGTGGACGAGGAATACATTGCTGCTTTGGAGCGAGTCAACATCAAAAAGGTCAAGAAAGATGCTGACTGCCCTATCTGCGGTAACGCTTTTGTCGAAGATCCTCATCCGCTGCTGGTGCGCCTTCCCTGCCATCAAAGTCATATCTTTGATCTTGAGTGCATTCGTCCGTGGCTGTTGGTGAACGGGACATGTCCTTTGGACCGGGTTGACCTGGCGCAAAGGGAAAGAGATCGAAAGAAGAAACATCTGGAAGAGATCAAAAAGAATGCTGCACCTGACGATGAAGAAGAGGAATGGGACGGACTCTATGGGTGAAACATGTGAGCACACCCTGGTCTGCTGAAGAATTATTGGTGGCCAGTCTTTTGGACCTACATCTGTTCATGCTGCGCAAGGACTTGAATCGAGTCCCCTCTACGGTCCAGCCAGTCGAGATTCTGCGCGTGAAGAGCATGGACAAATGCGAGCCTCTCCTGCTTATCTCCCGGACACCGCGCGTGCTGAGTGACATTACAATGCCTGAATCCCCGCCAAAAGGAGGCGGAGCTGACAAACATGATTCCCGATCATACGGTGTCTGCGCGTCCATTGGACTGGTACACTACGTTCCTCTCTGGCAGTCGGTGTAATGACCCCTACCCATATCCGATATTGAATCCGGTGGGATGGGAAGGTGTGCAGCTGTTTTATAAGCTCACGAACAGATGATCGGTCATATCCCGAAGCTCACGGGCGCCGATGCAAGACAGTACATAGATGTCATATCACTATAGAAATGCTGACAAATATGAAGATACCCTCCCATCGACGCGACTTGGTCGCATGTCCTTGACGAAGCGGGTGAGCGGGTTGCGGAGATGAAAGAACCTTCCGCCAATCATGAAAATCCGGGTACCTCTTCATGTTAATTCTGTACCTCGGTTTTAACCCAGTTCAGGCACCATGTTTCCCTTTGACTCCTGCCCCTCCATGGCTAGAGAAAGTGGCACGTCATGCTGGAACGTGTCAGTGGTGTCTTGTTCTGGCTGTTGAAAAACATTTAGTATTGAGGTAGACAAACTCACTTCTCGTTCCTGTCTCTTCTCCTGGTCAGATGCCTCACAGCTCCTCATCGGAGTCATTCATTTGTCCGTCGGACGATTTTCAGCCGTACGATATTGATAGGAGTATTAACCAGCAGATAGCCGAGCTGTCTATAACACACTGCTCGACTGCTTCTTTAGTTGGGGGGTTACGCACATTGACATCTCGTTAAACCGCTCGACACGACGAACCTGACAGTATGGCGTCGACTCCTACATCTACCCGCACTTGGATCCTGGCCAATCGTCCCAAAGGTCTTCCGACCTTCTCCAGCAGCGATGCGAACCCAACCTTCAAGCTAGTTGAGCAACCGCTGCCTCCCTTGAAACCAAACCAAGCCTTGGTCAAGATGCTCTTTTTCTCCAACGACCCGGCTCAACGTCCCTCCATTGATGGCGCCATCAAGGCAGAGCGCCATTACGCCCCACCCGTTGAGATTGGGGCACCCATGCAGGCTCGTGGGTTGGCCGAAGTCATTGCCTCGACTGCTGAGAATCTATCGAAAGGGACTATCGTGGCGGTGGCTCCGGGATGGACCGAGTACGCAGTCGTGGATGCTGCCGAGTGCAGTCCTCGACAGCCGCTGCCCGGAGGCTTGAGCATCACGCATTACCTGGGCGCATTCGGCGGACCGGGGTTGACGGCCTATTATGGCCTGGTGGTGGTTGGGGAAGCGAAGAAAGGGATGTAAGTGTGTCCGCGACATCCTGCACCTCTTTTCACGCGTCTTGGAGAGTCTCTGTTTGCTTAGCTTCTGACGGACATTACAGGAGAGTTGTGGTCTCTGGAGCAGCGGGGGCAACGGGTAATATGGTGGTGCAGATCGCAAAGAATGTAAGGCCCCATCGGAGCTCTTCTGTTCCAGTGTGCTCTGTTCCCGAGTTGACCACCTGGGCTTTTGCCTTCTAGATTGTCGGCTGTTCAGAAGTCATTGGCATTGCCGGCTCAGACGAGAAATGTCGCTGGGTAGAAAGCCTCGGTGCGGACAAGTGCATCAACTACAAGAGCCCGACCTTTGAAGAAGATCTGCACAAGGCGACAGAAGGATTCGTGGACATCTATTTCGACAATGTCGGCGTGAGTAACTCCCACCCACCTGTCCACCTGAGGAGAGACTCAACTTGTGGCAATGGTGAGGTTTATGCTAACGACACTCTGTCTCATTTCAGGGCCATATTCTCGACCTCATGCTCGGACGGCTGAAGCGGCACGGCGTGGCTGTCGCGTGCGGCTCCATCTCAGGCTACAATTCCACCGAGCCAACTGTGCTGAAAAGTATGTCTATCCAACTTCCATTCCGCCCTCCTCTTCAAAAAGGTGTTTATCTGACCCTGTCCTCCCTCTCCAGACTACTTCCAAGTGATAACCATGCGCCTCTCAATCCGCGGGTTCATCGTGCTCGACTACCTCCCAAAGGCGCAGGAGACCATCGAACTCTTCGTGCAGTCCATCAAGGAAGGCAAGTTGAAGATCACCAACGAGGAGAGTGAGCAGGTTGTCGACACCAAATTCGAGGACGTGCCCAAGACGTGGCTGAAGTTGTTTGACGGCGGTAACACGGGCAAGTTGGTCACCAAGCTGGTCTAAAACAAGCGGGCAGAAGACACTGAAACCGAGGGCCGGGGTGAGATGCCCTGGCTATGTACCTATGTAGGTATATCTCTGTCCATATCGAGGGAAGGCTAGGTTTGACCGTGTCAGAGGCCCTATGTGCATGTGCATAAGGTACTGTTAAGACCATTTTCCACATGACTGCCTTCTCGGACCGTATTTGAATTCTTCTCCGATAAAGCGCTAAGGGTTTCAAAAACACCAAGATCCCTAATTATTCTCTCTGCCGAAATCCACTTTTAACTGTTGGCAAAGTCCTGTCGCATTTGTATGGGTCATTATAGTCATGCCCTGTCCTTTCTTTTGGTTGGGATGCAATTTCCGTCTTCCCCGGTTGCCAGACGGAGCTTAATTAGACATTTTCGGCAGCTATGGAACATATTACTATAAGTACCGAGTATATTGGGGCATATAACTTCTAAATTTGATCCATCGAGCTTTGCTCTGCTCAATTTCGCCCAGAGACACTTCTACTGCGTGACACCTCAATTCTGAAAGACATGCAATCTTCATTCCTTCCCTCCCCCCCTTGCCGTACTCGGTAGAGAGTTCCTTGTTCCCCCCAGCCGGCCCCTTGCCGGGACTCTGGACCAAGCCGCTTGTGGCGTCGCGCATGTGAAACGAGGTTTCCACTGCGGCATGACTAGGAGGTGTGTAGCGAGTATTCCCACACACATATTGGTTCCTGCAGGCAAAGGCACCAAAATGCAACCATGGCGGCCGGCCAGAAACCGAACGTGGCTTGCAGTCAGGTAGCGAGGGGAGGGTTCTCAGCGAAGTGACTGGAAGCTTTGAGACTTAGGTACAGTAGTACTTGGACCTCGCGCATGCGGCTAACGGAAAAGGCGCCTTGCTCTGAACCCCTGTGCGCAAGCGCTTTGTTTGTGTTTCATGGCTCTCGCTCCAGCGCAAGAGTGTACCTGGTCGTCCAGCGCCGACCATGGGGCCAGCAATGTCCCGTGAGGCAGTGTCGTTGTACGCCGGACGCAGAAGGGCAGGTCCTTCGACTTCCACAGGTCCCCCTTCGTTCGCTTGTGTTCGCAGGCTAGCCACTGTGATATAGAAAAAGAAGGGCTTGCGAACACCCGATATTGCACATTCAAGAATTACCCATGTCTCTCGCATCGACGAGCTGTTACTGGCCCAATGGGCAGCTGGTGACGGAGTACAACTACCAACCATGCAACGCAGGCAGCGATTCTAAGCATGCGGCATGCTGTGATCTGCGCACGAGTGTCTGCACAGAATACGGATACTGTATCGGGAATGCCAACTACATATACCGCGGTGGATGCACAGACTCGACGTGGTTGTCGTCGAGCTGCGCTCAAGCTTGCTCCTTTCAAGGTACGGTGATTGTTATCACAACCCAGCCCAATGCCCGAAATCAAAGTTGAGTTGTTTATTTGGAACAGTCGAGGCAAATATCTCCAATTTTGCAAATATCCTCAATTGCGACTCGGGCGTGGCCTCCGCGACTCAGGATCAGACCTGGTGCTGCGCGGTGGATGGTTCGAGCTGCTGCGACAGCAGCTTTGCGGTAGCCTTCGGCAGACCGTATTTCCCAACGAGTAGCACGTCCACCGTTGCCAGCACCTCGACGACTGTCTCTTCTTCCGGCACGGAAAAGACTTCAGCAACCACAGCAACCACTGGTCCTGCAGCACCCACGACGCCGAGCACAAACAACCGTACCGACACACGGTCGATCGGCATAGGCGTGGGGGTAGGTGTTGGCGTTGGCGCTCTGGTCGTCGGCATTATGGCGTTTTGGTTCGTCAGAGAGCGAAAGAGGAGGGTCACAGCCGAGCAGAGGTTCCAGGCGATGGCAGCAGTCGGCGGTCACGATCCCTCCTTCATCGCGAAACCGGAACTGGAGCAGCCATCACACGACCACGCTCGTATACCATATTCGAGGATGCACGAGGCGAATTCGCAGTCATTATACGAAGTGCAAGGGTGATTGGGACTCTTGTCATTGCGACTAGCGATTTGTCGTTGAACATGGCACAGGAGCTGCCTTTTTGGACTAACTAAGGGTACTGAGGATGATATCGGCGTCAGTACATATGGAAGTGTCCGCGCGCGAGCCATCACGCTTTCGACTTCAAACGGGTCCTAATCATACCACGAGCCACGGCAATCTCAGCAGCAGCAGCACCAGCAGCAACAGGACATTCCTTCAACTCAATCAACAACCAACACCACCGTGGCACTAGCAACACTGTACTCGTGCTCTCCTGAAAAGGGTTGGAGTACGAGAAGAGTGTTCTTGATTGGGAGGGGCCAAAGAATCTTTGTATAGAACCAGCTCCGTCGTTGAATCTCAGTCAGTCCCTTGTGGCATGTGTCATGTGGTATGTGTCAGATTATTGTACCTACCTAGGAACCAGACAACCATACAACCTCACAGCATGTACTTGTATTGGTTAGAGAAAGTTAGTTAGTTAACATGCATGTATCACGTATCGAGATGTTTCTATCGAGTATCGAAGTATGGCGGTAGACTTAGAAACTTCTCTCTCGACAGGAGTCGAAACTTACATACCTGTGCGGCTTGAGGATTTTTGGTACTGTATGTCCCTTAGATAGGTAGGTAGGTAGGTAGGTAGGTAGGTAGGTAGATAGATACCTGTTGAAAGATGAGTATGAGTATGAAATGATACGAATAGTTGGTGTGTGCTGTACATTGTACATTGCTACGTATGTATGTAGGTACACTAGGCACACTTGGTGTGCACACCAGGTACGTGGGTACATAGGTATGTGGCAGGACGCAACGGAGCGAAACCCGTGCAGAATTGTGGCCCAGAACAAGAACAATTCGATCGGCGGCCAGGTAGTAACAATACGCGTAGTAACTGGCGAGCTGGGTACACAAAAACCGCCAACCCCTCGGCCCCTTGCCCCTGAGGCGCGTCGCCCCGAAATCGCCGAGATTTGTAACCGAATCCAATGAAGACGCCTAGGCGGCAGAAATAAGCAGAGCTCACGAAGATTTGGCATCTGCATCTGGGGAAATTGCGGGGTGTGAGGGGGACCTAAGAATCAAGGTCCAGAAGTGCCGCGAGGGTGCACAGCGTGACAGCAGTCAGGCAGTTCGATGCGAGGGACAAGTTGGTTCATTCTGCTGTGTACAAGGGTACTTCGAAGGGCGTGATTTTCCCGATGGTTGAAACGATTTCCGTTCCTTCAGCTGTCGACTGGGGCCAAATGTTACAGGGTCGAAGCCTGGAGTTGTCCTTCCCTCCTCCTCCCCCAAAGGCCCACCCCATTCCTTACATACTGAACGAGCTGGCTCAAACCGATCAGCTATTTTCAGTGATGGCTGCGGCGGCGGCGTTCGAGGTGCTATACGGGTAACTCATGTTGAAGTTGAACACTTTGTCGTCCTTGCGACCACGCGACGAAGAAGTCCTGACTTTCCGCCGCGCCTTTGATAGTAAGGGCTGTATTGAGGAAGCGGATGTTGTGGATTTGATCGAAGCAGTGTCGGCGGCGGCGGTGGTGGTGGTGGTGTTGGAAGAGGCAGCGAAGGCCGAGGCCGACAGGCGAGTGAAGAGCGATGGTCGCTTGGTGGCAGGCATTCTTTTTCTTTTGTCTCTTGGTAATGGATATGTTGAGTCGTGGTAGGTCCAGATGAGAGGTCTTGTCAAAGGTTGGGGGGGGGGACGAGGTACGAGATACTTGTATGGACGATCGAGAGCAGTGGTTGGCCCCAATGAACAGTGGACGAGGTACCGAGTACCCTCTCTAAGAATTTAGGCGTCAATAGGGGCCAGGAACTCAGGGCTGAGAAGTTCACGTAAGAGGGATCTAGTGCTTACCGAAGAAGATCTGCTCTGTTTGATCTGGTACTTGTACAGTGATGAAATACCATGTAATTACGCACGAAGAATAACTCTAAAAGGAAGATCGCGTGGCTCCTGGGTGGTTCATGGGTGGCTCCACGATAAGCCCACGCTTACCCCGTATTGGAAATACTCAAACTTCGCCATCTCTGGAAGGCCGAGTACCGTAATTTGCACACACGTCGGCCCCATGGCATTTCACTCTGCTCTTACAGTTTGCTTTTGTGCTTCGTAAAAGTTCCATACAAGGTAGTAAGTCAGACGCGTGACAATTCTTGATCCAATGTGTTCGTTCCTGTTGCCATCCGATATGATCAAACTCTCGACAGCGATACAGCTCTACGCATGCTCTCTGTTTTGACTATTGGGGGACTGCAATCGATCCTTCGCCAGCGCCGAGGCACTCGTGTCGCCGTGAGGAAATCCTATTCACCAAGTCCTGTAGGATCCAGAAACACCTTTGAGTGCCTTCTTCCGCTCCCTACCGATGTTTGTTTGTGACCCTTCCTTCCTGCCCATTACATCCTACGCCATGTTAGCGACACGCGCTTTGGTGCTGCCGTTCGCAATCCAATCAGGCTTGCGACCCATCTCAATCGCATTATCGAAAAACTCGTCTCACCGCCGCCACGACTCGAATTAGCAAGCACTTTGATCTCTCCGCAGCTTCTACCTCGAGCGATAGACAGCCCAAGAACGCTGCGTCTTTGAAGTGCCAGCATGCTGGATACCAGACGCAGAGAAATTGCTAGACCAGTACATCATGCCCACTTCCACTCCACGTAGCGCTCAGCTCCACTATGGGACGAGGCAAGCAGAATCTCAAACTCTTCTTTCGCCCCGACCTGCTTCGGCGGTGACTTGAGCCTCATGGGCCACTCCTCGATGATTGTGTGCGGTCGTTCCATTGTCAAGCCCAAATGGCGTCCAATCTCTCCGAAGTGCTCTTCTCTCATATATCTGCAGATGGTCAGTATGCTTCTTCTGCATTAGGAACTTGGAGGTGCGGACATTTCGAAGTATTTGTCATTGTCACGAACGAGGTCGTGAGCCGCGATCCGTCGAATCACCTCAGGGTCATATTCCGAGAGTGGCGGACGTGTGGCCGGAAGATACTGCGACACTTTCATCACGAGAGATTCTATCTCGGGACGCTTTGCAGGACTCAGATGGACCGTTTCGGCTACGGCATTCATGAAAAGCGTTATTATTGTCGCGTGAGAATTGTCAATGTGCTTTTGCAAGAATGGACTGAGCAGGTAGAGTGTGCGAGCTACTCCAAGGTAACCGCCATCCGAAATGTTAGAGACCTGTAGAATTGATCAGCGCTGTTATCTCACGGCACATTCTTACGGCCATCACCTCAATACGTGCAAACTGTCGACCATCAAGATGTCTCGAGAGATCCGTCACGTCCACGTTGAAGAGCTCGAACGCTATCTTTCGCGACGCGGCTTGTCTGGCGAATGAGGACAGAAGATCTCTTAGATGGTTAAACAGTTTGCCATACATGTCGTTGGCGGCGGATTCATAGGAGCTTTGGAGGACAGAACGGAGATCCCATCCATCAAAAGGGTCTGCCGAGTCCTTCATTGGCCATTGCTCTTTGTTCTGGTAGAAAGTACTGTGACAAGTTAGACCAATGTCATAGGATTATTGTTTCAAAGGGCGCCTCACGGATTCGGAGTGTCGAATGCTTGGCGAGGCTGGGAAAAGGACAATAGAATTCCATCTTCGCGGAATCTCTGCTTGCACACGCGATGAGGAGGTTTCTGTAAGAGGATATTCCGGTCCCGGTAGTCTCGCCGCTCATGCGCAAGCGTTGTGCCTTGTCGAATTTTGTCGGCCAGGCTGCAAGACAAGCCGTTGGGAACCTCTAGAAAAGAGGGGAGGAGCATCCATTTCTCCTTGGACAAAGTCACGCGGAGAGATCTAAATCCGAAAGTCCAAGTCTTTCCCAAGAGTGTGCCGTTCGGTTTGTCCTTAATCTTTGCACAAACCTTTTGAAATAGTGGAAGAATCGAGGATTGCAGCTGACGTAGTTGACTAGACTGGAGTTTCGCCGAGTACCAAACGTGGATGATAGTTTCGATATCGTCGGGGTCTTTGTCGATCTGCATCGCAGCAAGGAGTATGATCAGGTTCCGTGCGGCAATATCAAAATCCCGGTCGTTCAGAGTCAGGGAGATAGACTGTTGATACTCATCAGGAAGACAAGCAACAGTTTTCAACACATTACGGATGTCTCCAGAAGCTATAAACACAACGTATTTAGCACTGCTAGTGGCACAATACAATGAATAAGCCTCACCCGCAAACAACACATGCAAGTCGTGACCATAAGAGCATCCCTCATTGCGGTCCAGGGCTAAGACATCGAGTGCGGGCATATTGCCCCAGAAGTATTTCTTCAACTGGCCATATGGGACCATAGGAGCTCCGGCGCCCACGAACGATGGAAGACGTTGTTCTGTTTCCCAGGCCGGCATCCAGCTGGTCTTCATCAGCGGGCTTTTGCAGTAGACTTTATGCTCAGTCCAATGCTCCTTTTGGCAGTCCTTCCCGCAGTACTGATCAGCACCAGTCAGCGACGTTTTCTAGATGTTCTTTGCCAAAATGTGGCCATCCTACTGAAACCAGGCGACAGCCACCGCAGTCTAGCTGCCCTATCCTGCTGCATTTCTCGGAAGGGTTCGCATGCCAGTTGGCACAAGGTATCGAGGACATGATCATTGATTCGGCGAGAATTCAACGAGATTGAGCGATAGGGGGCGAGAACAGTTCTCGAATACAATGACAAAGGTCTGTGTAGCTATTTGTCAAAAGCAATGAACTGAACCGGTGATTTTTGAGCCTCACTGCCGCCTGCGATGAAGTGACACTCAGTGCGAGGTGTAACCGGAACCGCGCTAGCACTTTAAAGGCATAAGCCCACATGGCGCAGGATTAGGCGCCCGGGACAAAGTTAAGAGAATGCGCGGGACCGCGGGCGGGAACTTTGTTGGGCTTAGCACGTCCTGTTTTCGGGTTCATTTTGAAGTCCCTCCTTGCTCATGTAGAGAGATAGCTATGAGCATACATATTTCACGCTGTCTGCACCCAAAAGCCTTTGCAAAAGATCGAAATGACACTATATCACTTCCCGGTCAAAGCTCAGACCATAAGTCCGGTAGTTGCAGCACATGAGAAGGAGCTCATAGGTAAATAAAACGAAATAATATTATATCTCTGGCAATGCTCCTACAATTAGCAATCATTTTGACAAAGCATTCTTCGTCCTGCAATTTCCATGTTCTGTGTACGATCAAGTCGTCCACCTGGTATGGAAACTAAGATGTCGAGGTGAGAGTCAGAGTAGCGGCGGGACCTGGAACCTTTGATGCTCTCTTTCTCTTGATTAAATGACATCGTACTGTGAAATCAGGTATTTGGTCATTACGTCAAAATGGCCCCTAGACCATAAACAGAAAAGCGCGCGGCGGAGCAGATTAATTTTCGCCGTCTTTGTAAGTATTTTCGTGAAATACGAGTACCTATTAATTAGAATGCCGATTTTGTACGTCACGGTGTCTCGTAATCAATCTCCTCATGCCAGCATGCCAGCTTCTGAAATATCACCGCATCAACGGTCAACAACCCCGGTATTGAATACCGCCCGATGAATGCTCGATGACCTTACATCTCACTGTAATCGGTCTCAAGTTTTGTCTAGCCTTCCTTGCATCGTGGTCTCCTCTTCTATGGCTGAGCTTTTAAATCTCACCTCGACCGTCTTTCTCATGCACCCGCGACATTGACAGGTTGTCCTCCAGCTGCCTCCTTGATTCTGGGATCACTTACCTTGGCGATCTCCCTAACAAACTCTTGCCGTCTGCTTTCCTCCAATGCCCCGGGCTTCCAGTATTCATACTCGATCCATTCGCCCTCTTTCATCTGTGCCTCAACCGCTTCATGGAACCGGGCACCGAGTTCTGGTTGTAAGGGCACCACGCCAGTCTCTTCGCAATATGTTTCCCAGAGGTCTAGCAATTCCTTCAGGATCTCTGGGTGCTTGGTGGCCAGGTCTTCCGTCTCGCCGGGATCCTTGGAAAGATCGTACAGCTGCCATGCCGAGTTACCCTTGGGGAAGGGGATGAAGTCGGCTTTCCATGCTCCCTTACGGATCGCCGCCCTGCCACAGAGTTCCCACCCAAATGCCTCGCCAGGATCGTGGACTTGATCCTGCTTGCCGCTTAGCCACGGTATCATATCCTTGCCACGCATGGGTACAATCTGGCGGCCTTTCCACTCAGGTGAGGGATGTTTGATATCTGCCAGGGAAAGCAGCGTGGGTGCGATGTCCATCACTGTTGCGAAAGTATCGGTGATTTCACCTTCTCGGCCTTTATGCATCGGCGGATACCGAATGACACAAGGCACCCGAACGCCTCCCTCGGTCGTGTATGCCTTGTACAGTCGACTCGGGGCAGTGGCAGCTTGAGCCCAGCGTGGGCCGTACCAGACGAAACTGTCCTTATTGCCAATATTCTCAAGGGAGTTGTTGTAGTACTTGCCAATATGCTCCATCAACTCACCAGCCACCATGGGATATGCTTCGTACGCAGCTCCTTCGGCACCATTGTCCGAGAAGAACATAATGTAGGTATTGTCCAACTCGCCAATTGATTCCAGATAGTCCGTAACTCGGCCGATATTGTGGTCTAGGCACTCGACCATACCAGCATATGCTTCCATTGAACAAGAGGATGCCTTCTTGTGAAAGTCGTCCATCTCGTCCCACCCAGGCACTTCGTCTGCAACCACTGGATGGGGCTTGACATCTTTGGGTATCATCCCTAGTTCAATCAGCTTCTTCAGCCGTGCCTGACGGAGGGCTTCTGGGCCTTCCCTGTAAACGCCCCGATAGTGATCAACGTATTCCTTGGGAGCCTGTAGAGGCCAGTGCGGGGCAGAGAATGGGAAGTACGCGAAGAAGGGTTTCTCGGAGAGTTCCTTGTCCTCTTTCCACTCTTTCAGATAGCGGAGCATTCGGCTTCCATATCCGTCGCTGGAGTACCATCCCTCTGGTAGATCTTTGACATAGTGGTCGTCCTCCATGTGCAATGCAATGACGCTCTTCTCCAAGAATTTTGGAAAATCGGCCTCTGGTCTCCAGTCATAATGGTTTGAGCACGCCGGCAAGAGGGCTAGACTTCGGTCGAACCCCCGGGCCTGAGGACTTCGCTCTTTCGTAAGTCCTAGATGCCACTTCCCACTCATGACAGTGTGATATCCTCCTTCTTTCAGGACCTCGGGGAGTGCAGCCACTCGAGCATTCAAGTACCCTTCGTAGCCTGGCATGCCTCTCTGCGGAGCAGTCGAATATTTGCTCCCTTTGGGAAAGTTTTGTCCAGAGAAATCCGTCCACTCAATCAGGTTGCCCAAGCCTGCAATGTGATGGTCCGTACCCGTGAGGATCATTGCTCTTGTCGGAGAGCACGCGGCCGCAGCATGGAAGCCTGTGAGACGGATGCCATCCTTTGCCAACTTGTCGATGTTGGGGGTGCGAATCTCGGAGCCGAAGCATCCCGCATCTGAAAAACCCATGTCATCAGCGACGATGATGAGGAAGTTGGGCCTTTTAGCAGCCATGGTGACAGCCTATCCACGAGTCAATGTCTAGGGACAAAGGAAAACAATATCGAAGTCTATACGCGGTAATATGGAAGACGACAGCTACGTGCCTCAGTTGAACTGGTAGCGGGGCAAGAGGGGAATCCATTGAGGGACGGTATCGGTTCAATCTTACGGCGAGCCCCCACCAGGAACCAACTTAAGTCACTGGGGGCTCGTGGAGGGGCAGTTTGCATGCCAATCCACCGCAGCAAAAGTCCCTACAATGGAAGGTCATAGGCACCCAGCCTTAGGTGCCTAATGCCTAAGCTGGGGGTTTGGCACACCTGCCTAGCTGGTTTCTCAAGTTAGGGAAGGCCTTGTGAAAGAGTCCATAATGCCTTGGTCGGCGCCAGATATATTCTGGGGAAGCGAGAAGCTTGTGATAAAGAAGAACGCAAACCACGAGTAGATCTGAGGAATGCTTGTAGTTGTCCGCCGCACAAAAGAACCTCCACCCATTACCAACGACTGAACTTGGCAAGTTTTGTATGTACCCGTAAGCTCACTCTGCAACCTCCATCTTGTTCAACCAATCTTCATCGCTGATATCCCACGACGAATGTACACACCTGCTTGACCCTGGACAGTGGCTCCTTAGCCTGCGGCATACCTGAGTTGCATGGGACGGCCCTCAATGCTACAGCGGGTGAGCGGTTCGCATCCATCCACTCGTCGATCCCTCGTCGCCCATCAAAAATACCACAGTTGGATCTACACTCCTCCTACCGTTTGCACCTGGTCATCCGTACGCCACATTCCCCCGCTTCTATGGCGTGATTTAGAAGCCCATATTCCTGTCTCCCAACACATTGGATCATCCTGTCCAACCCTGGGGTTGCAGTCCGGTGGCCTCTGAACCGAAGGGTGCTCGAGACAGCCGTTGTGGCAGGCGGTCTGCTGCATTGGTATAAGAGCTTAGCCATGGCGTCTTCTTCCTCTTCCGCTGGGTATCATCTTCTCCAGCAAGGCGACACACCCGAAACAACACCGGCAGCCACTGAAGAAGAAACAAGCATGGGTAAATCGCTGGGCACATTTCGAGCTTGCTACGTTGTGGCCTTGTGCTGCATTGGCTCGTTCCTCTTCGCCTACGACACTGGGATTGTGGGAGGTGTCTTGACGTTTCCATCCTTCCAAAATGACTTCGGCTACTCAAAGGCCGACAAGACACAAGTCAACTCGAACTGTGTCTCGATCCTCCAGGCTGGAGCCTTTTTCGGCTGCTTCTTCATCTGGCCACTGACGGGATGGCTCGGTCGGAGATGGGGGTTCATCATTGCCTCTGTCGTTTTCTGCATCGGGTGCATTTTGCAAATTGTGAAATCACACTCCATTGGCGTTTTCTATGCTGGCCGTGTCGTCTCCGGTTTAGGTACTGGGGCAGCGACAGTGCTGGTGCCCATGTTCTCCGCAGAGATGGCCCCAAAGGAGATCCGAGGCAAGCTGGGCTCATGCTTTCAGCTGTTCTTTGCGACTGGTGTTTGTGTCAGTTACTGGGTCGACTACGCTGCGCAAGTGGGCATTTCCGAGACTTCTTCGATGCAATGGCAAGTGCCTGTAGGCCTACAGCTGGTCCCTGGAGGTCTTCTTGGGCTGGGCATGTTACTGGTCAAGGAGTCTACTCGTTGGCTTGCAAAGAAGGGTCGCAACGAAGAAGCTTATGCTTCTCTCCTTTGGGTTCGTGGTGGTGTCGATAGCCCTGAGATTCGAGCCGAGTTTGCAGAAATACTTGCTGGCGTGGAAGTGGAAGTGCGAGAATCGGAAGGCCTGACTTGGAAAGAACTTCTCCTGCCTTCGAACAGATATCGATTGTTTATCGCAATCACGATTCAACTCTGCGCCCAATTGACCGGCAACACCTCACTAGCCTACTATGCTCCGCAGATCTTCGCCACCATTGGGGCTGGTAACAAGACACTCTTCATCACTGGCTTCTTCGGGCTGGTCAAGATGGCTGGTGTCTTTATCTTCATTCTCTTCTTCGTCGAAAGGTTTGGCCGCAAGCTACCCTTTATGGTCGGCGCGTTTGCGATGGGAAGTTTCATGCTCATCATTGCATTGATTGTTGACACGCATCCCCCCAAACCATCGGCCACTGGGATCACATCGTCGGGAGCGGCCGGTATCGCCATGGTCTACCTGGAAGCATTCGCCTTCAATATGTCTTGGGGGCCTCTGCCGTGGCTGTACATAGGCGAGATATTCCCCAACCGGATCCGGGAAATTGGTGTTGCAACAGGTGCTGCGAGCCAGTGGCTCTTCAACTTCGTCATGAGCCAGATTACTCCTCACGCCATTACCAATATCGGCTGGAGGACGTTCCTCATGTTTGCCATATTCAACTATGCTATCATTGTTTACAGCTATTTCCTGCTCAAGGAGACTACGGGCAAGAGCTTAGAAGAGATGGAGATTGTCTTTGGTACCGTGGATAGGCTGCCCACCAAGGACGATGACGAGGTGGAATCGCAGGCTGCACACGACACCGCCAGGGAGATTCACGAAACAGCCAAGTGAGTTGGTATACAGACAACACTCCAGGGGGCCATATTTACCATGTAATATGCGAGATAAGTACCCATAATATGCGGAAGTGGTCTGACGCGACGATGCGCCGAATTGTCCAATCAGAAATTGAATCCAGTGATGCACCGTAGCGCGTCAGTGCCTACTTCCTTCACTGTAGTTCCTATAACTGTCGTGTTCCGATTTTCTCTACGGATCTTGGCCAGACGAATTCGAAGTACCCTTGTTGTCCTACATACCTATTTTAACGGAAGTGAAACTATTTTGACACTTGACACTCCGGTTCTAAACCACACCTTACGGGCATAACAGACTCGCTCTCACTGTGGCCACAACACACCTGGCCAAACATGCCCGACTCTAGTCATGCACCCGCTCCCGCACGGCGAAGGTCGTCTTTTGCGTATGACCCTGCTCGAGATACTTTCAAAGCATTGCCAGATACCATAGCTGAACAAGCCATTGCTGAAGATGCCGAGGAAGATGCAAATACTACGGCCCCACCAACGTCCAGTCCAGGAGCAGAGGGTGCGGCGGACTCGTCCCGAAAGCGAAAGCGATCGGAGTCGCCTGACGGAGAAGTGAAGCCTACATCTGAACCGAAGAGACAGGAAACCGAGGAGACACCTCCAATGAAGAAAACACGCGCGTCCCCTTCGCCCGCGGGACGAGATAAAGCCTCGCCTAAGCCCGCTACGAATGGAAGTCACACCGAGAAACCCAAGCCCAGAACACCCGCAGACCTGCCCCGAATCCCACGCAAGCCGAGAGAAGAAGGCGAAATTTCTGCATCGCGTCGGGTGTCCGACGCGTATAGTCGACGACCGGATACCGATGACCGACGTGCAAGAGAGCGGAGGGACAACTTCTCTAACCGCCGATCGCGATCCCCTCCTCGACGACGCTCCCCCTTGGATGCCTACCGTCGCCGATCTCCTCCACGAGAGCGTCGCAAATCCCCCTCCCCCATCCGTGACTCTCCCCCACGAGATATAATTCGTCCTGGCGGTGCTCGCGGCCGTGGTCGGAACGTGCTAGCCGAACAGCAGCGACTTGCTGCCGAACGGGAGCAGAAGCAGGCTGGGCTACACGCTCAAGTCAATCGTGGTGTTCAAGAAGTCTCAAATCAATTCTACAACGCACGGCCAGAGTGGGTGAAGGAAAAGGGACGAGACTGGCGCCGGAATGAATCTCAAATCAAAGGGCTCCGCACTTTCAACAACTGGATCAAGTCCTGCCTCATCCACAAATTTAGTCCGGAAGAGAAGACCGAAGAGGAAGAACTGGGCTGGGGCGAGGAGGCGAAAGAGCCTGCTGCACAGAAACCCCTCCTTGTGCTCGACATTGGATGCGGTAAAGGAGGTGATCTGGGGAAGTGGCAGCTGGCTCCACAAACGGTTGGGCTGTATGTCGGTCTCGATCCCGCAGAGACAAGCATTCAACAAGCTCGTGAACGATATCAACAGATGCGGCGAGGTCGACGTCCAATCTTCGATGCCCGCTTCTTCCCACAAGACTGTTTCGGCGCTTGGATTGGTGATGTCGGCATTATTCGCGAAGTCGGCATCGACGCCAACGCGGGCAATGGACAACCTACCCGCTGGGGCGGTGGCGGATTTGACGTTGTCACTTGTATGTTTGCCATGCACTACTCATTTGAGTCCGAGGAGAAAGTGCGCATGATGCTCCGCAACGTGGCGGGAAGTCTGAAGAAGGGGGGACGATTTATTGGGGTGGTGCCAAACAGTGATGTTTGTGCGGAGAGGATCAGAGAGTGGTTCAAGGACAAAGAAGCGAAGAAAGCTCAAGAGAATGGACCCGATGGTGCTGATGCTGAGAAAGAGGACGGCGAGGCCGATGAGGAGGGTCCTCAATGGGGCAACGCCATTTACAACGTCCGCTTCCCTATCGACCCGCAGCGTCCTTTACAATCCGATGGATCCTTTCGTCCACCCTTCAGCTGGAAATACACGTACTGGATGGCTGAAGCCGTGGATGTGCCTGAATTTGTGGTACCTTGGGAAGCTTTCCGGGCGTTGGCCGAGAGCTACAATCTAGAGCAACGCTACAGGAAGCCGTTCTTGGATATTTGGCAGCAAGAGCAAAGCAATCGCGAGATGGCCAGTTTGGCCGTGAGGATGGGCGTGATCAGGCATGAAGGGGGAGAGATGTTGCTGAGTGAGGCTGAGAAGGATGCAGTGTCATTCTATCATGCATTTTGCTTTGTCAAGGTCTAGACACTACTTCACACCTTGTATTATTGGTCGTGGTGGTGGGCGGAAAGGTATAATTCAGCCTCGGGAGTGCGAGGCTTGTTCAGCGGAGAATTACAGGTATCTCATGCATATTGGTTCTTGAAAGTCGGATAGGTCCAGACATGGCAGGCTATGCAGGCACGGTAGGATTATTCCAGATCGACCACAGAATTGCATGTCCGACTGATCGGTGTCTAAGAAGTGAGATCTTCCATAAGATATCTTTCTCTCCGCCCTTATCATGGACACCGTAATGGTAGCGAGATACAGCACTGCATTTCAATACGATAAATATCCCTATAAAGCTAGAGCTGGATTTAGAGCAAACGGGAGCAAAGGCTGTTAGAAATTGTCCTCCCCCTCCCCTTTCTTTCTACATGAGGCTGGGTATTGTTTATCATCATAGAACTTGACAACAGGTCATGTGGCGAGAAGGATATCATATACGGTAGAAATAAATTTCAGACAGATAGGCTGAGTACCTTTTTTTTTTTTAATTATTATTTATTTACATGCCTGTGCTGGGTGTATACAGGGCACATATATCCAAATATACACCTCGTATATCTAGGATATATGCGTATATATCTTAACAAAAACCCAGGTGGCTTGCTGGTGGCAACACAAAGATCAAAGTTCCGACCCGACTCAATATTCCTCGCCGTTGCCATAACCATAACCATAACCATAACTATCTACAAACGCAAGCACGCGGACAAGCACAGGTGTCAAGTACAACAGAAGGGACAGTAGGAGATGTAATCATAGTAGATATAACCGCGACTTGGGACCCTAACCCTAATCCGGGAGAATCTGAGCGAATGAGACCATTGATTGCTTCAAGTGCGCCTGTTCCTCCTGTCCATGGCCACCCCTTGTTGGCAGTGATTGGGATAAAAAGAAGAAAACACCTCAACCGACTGACTGACTGACTGACTGGGCCGTCCAAGCGGGTGGCAAGAAATTTGACTTGCTTGACTAGGTCGACGATGAGACTGGGGCACGACTACAAGGAGAACAGAGTTAGCATGTTATGTACAAAGTAACGTCCCTATTCACAAGATGTGGTCTTTGGCAGCCAAAAAAAAGGGCAATAGAAGTGGGGGGATAGGATCATAGGGAAAGTCATGATGGTGAATCACCAAGGGGGGGGGGGGGAACGTGGATACGTACCAGTAAATGCATATCACGCTGTTGGTGGTGGACCGTGCCATCCACTCGTCAAAGCACATGGCGTGCGTGGCGTTGTGGCACGTAGAACAGCGCCAGGTCTCGTTGTCGTCGTCGTCGTCGTCATCGTCATCGTCCCGGTTCCGAGAGGACAGGGCGTTCAGGCAGATCCCACATTCAGTCTCGGAGGAGATCGAGGACGAAGATGTGTTGCTGTTCCTCGACGCGGATGAGGACCGAGATGATGACCGAGATGAGGTTGTGGAAGGGATGTAGGCTCCAGTTGGCGAAGATGAGCGTGACGACGCGATTGACGGAGCGTTGGATCGAGATTGTCGGCGTCGAGTGGCCCTGATCGACGCACTGGACACAGCGGGTGCAGGATCGAAAACACGGCCTCGTGTCGAGGATTGCCCTGCCCCGGATACGTCGGCGGCGGCAGTGACAGGGGGTAGTGACCTCGTTCGATCCTCCAACCGGGCCAAAAGAACTTCAAGCATCCTGATTGTCTCCTGTTGCATCCGGTGGAAGTGGTAGTCCGAGTCTCCAGAGAGATCGCTGTCTCTGATCGACGGTTCGGAGGATATTGTTCTTCTTGTTGACGATGTGACCTGGCCCTCGCTGGGACGACGTCCTCTGTAAGAGCTTTGAGCTCGAACGCTGCTGTAGCGTGTCGCCGTTTGGGTCTCTGCCATGTGTTGGTCCAATCTAGTCAACCAGGTCTGGGTTTCCTCGGGTGCTTGGTCCTGGTGCCATCTAACAGCACGTTAGAAAGCGTGTCAATTGGGGAGGAAGCCAGGGCGGGACTTTGTCTCCATCGGCATGTGGAATATCTCGACAGACGTACCGTTTGCAATGAAGTAGGCTTGCCGCGTCTTGCAACTGCTTTTCCAGCCTCGAGGGCTTCACTCCACTCGCGAGAGGGCTGCAGATACTTGTGAGTATACGTGTGGCTGCGGAACGCGATGCCGCCGCCACTGGAATTCGACATTTCCGCCCAGCATCCCGACCACTTGTCGTATAGCCAATGCACGTGGACTGCTCTTGAGGGTGATTGATTTCCAGAACTTGACAGAGCTCGCTGGTGGAAAGCATCCTGTGAGGTTTCGTTGAGAGTGCAGCGGGAGGTTGAATGATGAGAGACTGTGCCGCCTGGTTGGTCGAGGGATAGAAGATGTACCTACCAGGCTCCAAGCTGTCTATATAGTGTCTCTCGCCGGCTCTCACAGACACAGCCAATGCAGTTCAACGGCTCGTCCGGTGAGTCTCCAGGCGAACGAACCATACTCAGCCACAGGACTTGCTGCCTTCCAAGAAAATGGAGCGGCTGTCTGGTGCCGAACTGCCAGAAGTACACCTGCCCGTTCCCGCAACCGATGCAGCTGAGGCGTTCACGAGCATTGGCCGAGTCCAGGGAGGTCCCTGTCCATTCGTCATGGAAATGGCGCAATATGCAGCACACCACCAGAGGCGCAGTGCAGGCTTCACGAACGGATGCATGGTCGCGGGTGTGGCCATGATGCCCCTCAGAGCAGGGGTTTCCAGACATATAGCGTATCAAAGTGTCACAGACCTTCCCCGGCCCCTGTGAGATTCCAGAAGAACACTGCTAGCTTCTTTACGCCAATTGAGGCGGAGATAGGTCATATTGACGAGTAGACTGCGAGAGATAACTGCTTCTCACGACAGAAACGGGCATGGTGAGTTCGGGAGGCCCGTACGCATTGACCTTGACAGGGTTCTGCGGCCCGTCGGGGGTATTGCGTAGCCGGCGCTTAAGAAAGAAAGGAATCGACGGCGTTGTGCACAGACGCTCTTCGTGGCGTAACTATTGTGGCTGTCGAGCTGTAGAGCGACGAAGAGCGAAGAGCGCTCATGCAAGGATCTTCATATGGCGGTTTGCTCTGTACTTAGCATAGCATTTTCGCGTGATGACCCAGGTCACTTGAAGCCTCCATGGGGGTGAATTGCGCCAAGCTGCCTTTTCTTTCTGGCCTGCATCTTTGCGTCAGTAGTAGATAGCCTAGCATGGTTCTCCTGCGGCAATGAAGAGCTCTCAGCTTCAAGGGGGGTGTTAGTGAAACAGCGCCAGTTACACAAGTGAAAAGCCTCAATTGGCCATGGATTGTGCGGATAGTGGAGTCTGAAAGTATGAGAACAAGGTTGTAGTGCTTGTTGATTGGAGTCGTATTGAAAGAAAGAGGTTCGAGTTGGAATGCTAAGAGCCGAGTATGGAACAGAGAAGAAGTGTTGTCGACAAGAAGCGCCGAGTTGAGAGAGGAAATTATTCGGTCTGACAGAGGATTTATGGTTAAATCTGGGCTCTGTCGAAATCAAGTAGCATCGTCAGACAAGATAATTTTACTTGGTGCACCAATGGCAAGGCGAAATCATAAATTTGAGGGGACCAAGTAGTATATGTATATTTAAGGAGTGATTACATTCGATGCGTATATGTACTCTCATAATGCCAAACCTCCGCTATGCTATGCTATGCTATGCTGTGCCGTGCTATGCCCAAAAAACCGCGCAAAATCACAAACCGCATTAAAAAGATATGCTGCCCTGCAGCCCAACTCTTGCTCGCATTACTGACGTTGCTTCGTCTCCTCCATCTTGCCTGTGTCGCTGGCAATCAATGCTCACCAGGCACCAATCAACGTGGGCACGGCCATGGTGATTGTAATGGTTTGACAACCAACACAGTCACTCAAGTTATAGAAGAAGTTGGGGGCCAAGGTAGGTGTGGCAGTGACAGTCACTGTGGCTGGAGAAGGGCACCAATGATGGGTAGTGGGTGACTGGGTAGGAGCAGGATTGCAGTGACCATTGGCGGCCGTCCCATATCCACACCACTGAGAGGCAGGAGTGGTGGTGGAAGTAGTCGAGGTGCTAGTTGAGGTCGGCGATGGGTTGCATTTTCCATTCAGAGCAGTGCCAAATCCACAATAGTGAGTGGTAGTGGTGCTCGCTGTGGTTGGCACGCTGCTGGTGCTGGTAGTGGAGCAGGAGCTGGTCGACGTGCTTGAAGTGCTCTTGCTGGTGCTGGCACTGGAGGTAGAGGTACTGCTGGTGCTCGTACACTTAGTCGTAGTAGTCTTGGAATGTGAGGTCGTGGTAGTGGTAGTGGTAGTGGTGCTGGTAGTCGAAGTGCTGGTGCTGGTGCTAGTTGGAGTGATGCATTTTCCGTCTAGTGCTGTGCCAAATCCACACCAGAATGACGTGGTGGTTGTAGTCGAGACCGGTGTGGTGGTGGTGGTTGTGGGTGTAATGCATTTGCCGTCCAAGGCGGTGCCAAAGCCGCACCAGTATGAGGTCGTTGTGGTGCTGGCTGAGGTCGACGTGCTGGTCGACGTGGGGGTAATGCATGAGCCATCAGCAGCTGTTCCAAAGCCGCAATAGTAGCTCGTTGTGGTGGTAGAGGAAGTAGAGCTTGAGGTCGTGGTTGGCACGGAAGTAGTCGTGGTAGAGGAAACAGAGCTCGAGGACGTAGTTGGGACGATACATGAGCCATCTGCATTAGTGCCAAAGCCACAGTAGTTGGAAGTGGTGGTGGTCTCGGCCACTGGCATGGCCAAAGTGCCAGCAGCAAGAGCTGCAATGAGGAAAGAGACGGAAGAACGCATTTCTGACGACGGGATTATACTTTGTAGATTGTAGATGGGAATGCGCTGTTTTGAGGAGTGTTGCTTGAAGCGAGTGTGGCAAGGAAACTGTTTGGTTCAAACGATTGTGGTAAGGTAACGAGGGTTCAGGAAGTTGTTGCTATAGTTGTTTTGCTGTTGTGATGATGGACAAGACAAACCTTTTCGGCAACGAGAGGCACTCACCTTCTTATACACCATGGTATAGACGAGAAAGCATAGCTTCTCTGGTGTCATCCGAGCCATGGTGACAATCCAGGTGTAGCATTGCTCGCTATGCTGTAAGTTTTCACAAGCTATCGCACTGAGCCTCAGCAGCTATTGTAACGTGCGAGTGGTGTGTTCGGTGCCAAGTCAGATCGCGATTGGTTCGCAAAGGGCAAATCATGCGAGACATCTCCCAAGCTTCGTCAAGGCTGAAGTGAGAGAAATTCTGTGGAGAGAGCTTTCAAGAGTTGGGGAGGCTGAGCACCAAAGAGTCTGGGCTCCAGTTCGCAGGCGCAGTCAGGGGGAGGTAAAAGATGCACCAATCAGCACGTCCCTTACACACTCATTCTAACCGCATGTGGTTGGGGTAGCCGGGGTTGCGGAAAAGTAGTTTATCCGATGCGAGGGATAAGTTCTCAGGTGGTATTTTCTAGTGGCACCCTCAGGAGCTACAGTAGCACCAACACCAACACCAGGCTACGCTTCTCTTCTCCGGATTCTACCTTCTTTTGGACTGAGACATATGGGCACATGACTTGACGTAGTCAGTGTGCTTCTTTCTCCCATGGAGTGACGTTTTCAATAGTGATGGCAAGAATGGGTGTTTCTATTTTTACCCTCTACTCGGTACAGAACGTGACTTGAAAATTCACTCAAGCTATTGGGCGCGGAACATCCACGGAAGTACACAGTACTTGTGCTTGTATTTGACTATCTGACCAAGGAAATGAAGAGAGTCCAGTGGTGGCCAACTGAGACATCAGAACGTGAGCTCGTCAAGGTGTGTGCCGAGTAGTCATAACACTTGAGGCCAGCCAGGCAGAGACGAGGAATGTAGTCACCAAACCAAGAGAAGGCGGTTATGAGAGAACCGGTAAAGCATTGTCGATCCGGGAGCATGACTGCTAGCAGACAGGCTACTGGGCAAAAGTACCGTGTACAAGTAAATGCTGTATTTGTAGGATTCCCTACTTGGCTGCAGGTGGCCGTGCTTTGCCTATTGCCTACCTAGGGGGTAGTCAATTATTGTGCAGGCGCGTCATCCATCTCAACACGTGTCTGCAATTTGTATGGAGAACTCAGTGTCCAACGCCAACAAGGGACAACCCCCAATAAAGTCTTGCTTTCTCTTTCTCAAACAACGATACCTAATATGTTTGGGGCTTTGAATCGCTTTATAGCTCGCCTCGACGGTGAGCCGCCTCCTCGACAAGCAGATACTGGGCCTTCGGATACATCGTATGGCTTTCAAGTCCTGCGAAACACAAATAAAGACCTCCCCATTGAACCGTGGTTCGACTTCATCATAGGCATTAACGGACATTATCTGGTACTTGTCTAGCCCAACAAGAAGCAACTAGGTCTGAGGTGATATGCTGACTCCTTGGAGGACTCGCCCGATCCCGCCCTGTTCACAACCGAATTGCGCAACTGCGCTGGCGGATACTGTTCGCTGGATCTATGGAGCGCAAAGGTACGAGGTCACTTTCCCGCCAGAGTATTGTTTCCATTCCTGATCGGTGCGTCTAGGGTTCAAGATCCCATTCGATCAGTGTTGCCGTTCCTTCTCCCCCAGAAACGCTCGGGCTCTCGCTACAACTCGCCCCTCTCAATTCCACACACAACATCTGGCATGTTTTGACCATTCCCTCCCCGTTGTCACCGGCCCATCAAGCAGGCCTCCTACCGCATAGCGACTATATACTTGGCTCGCCAAGCGGCACATTAAAGGGAGAAGCTGCTCTCGGTGAGCTCGTCGAAGACCATCTCAATCGCAGTTTGGTACTATGGGTCTACAACTCGGAATTTGACGTGGTTAGAGAGGTTGAACTGGTGCCGCGAAGAGGATGGGGAGGCGAGGGTGCTCTAGGGGCGGTCCTTGGTTTTGGCGCCTTACACCGCTTGCCAGTGGGATTGGGAGAAGAGGTGCAGGCACCGGGAGAAAATCTATTTGACGCTGACAGGAAGAGCTCGGAGAATGGGCAACAGGACGTGTTCACCAACACCTTCCAACCTGCCCCTGCTCAGGATCTACCTCCACCTCCTATGGTCAACCTGAATATCCCTCCACCCCCCTTGATGAGCCCAGGAGCTCCCCCTCCTACTGCATCCGCCACCTCCAGAGCACGAAAGGGAAGACACCATGGCGCAGCTGCTCTGGGCAGTGGCTTCGATGATATATTCGCCGAAGGTGCTAAGAAGAGTGCCGAGCGGGACCATGTACCTTCGAGAAAGGGTACGCCGCTTGCCCCACCACCCAAGATCACATCTGCTGGGCCAACACCACATTCTGTCACTCATGACAAAGAGGATCCGCTAGCGCAAGCAGGTGAGGATCTTGGTGAACCTGGGGATGCCGAGGAAACGTGAACTGGCACGTTCGTCAACCCCAACGGCACCCATGGGCAGTCTTGAAGATGTATCAGGGAGGGTGCCCAATCTCAAAGGTCAAGCTTCGGAAATGAGTGCTTTGGCTTATGTACCCGTCGCACCAACCTCATCCTTCCACCACTCCATAAACTCCCGGATTCTGTCCGACCTCTCCTTTGCCATCGCCTTTCCGGTCTCGGTCTTCATCATCCCTTCCAACTTGAGCAACTTATCCTCGAAATGCTGTATCGAGTCCTGAAGACTCCTAGCACCTTTTGCTCCTCCAAAGGTGAAGCAACGAGCAATCCCGATGGCCCCGATAGCATCAAGCCGATCAGCATCCTGAACGATAGCCAGCTCAGGTATGATGTCAATGACGTTCTTAACATTTTGAGGGTTTTTGATCTCAGAGGAATACGATACACCCTCAACCAACAGTTGAATATGCTCCGCATAGCTATGTGGCATACCAGCGTCGATCACTGCCTTTTGCAGAGTCATCTTCTGTTGATCCGTTGTCACATCGACATACTTCTTGTCCTCAACGTCATGCAGCAACGCCCCTAAAATCACACTCAGTGGGTTCAATGCGGGCAAAGCCTTCTGCTTCCGTTCCTCTTCCTCCTTCTCAAGGATCGTTAAAGCATTGCTAAGGACTCGCCGCACATGTCTGAAGTCATGGGATGCGTCAAAGCGTGGGTTCCGGAAGTAGGTCTCAGTGAAGGCGTAAATCTTCCGGACAGTCGAGATTTCGTGATCGGAAAGGCTTGGATACGTGGCTGGATCGACGTACTTATCCTTTGCCATGTTGAATGTCAAAATGGGTGTTGAGAAGACGGACTGAGAAGTGGATATCAAACTCGGAGCGTGGATACCGGCGGCACGCGACCAGAACGATTAGCAGATTGAAATGGAAAAATTTTATCTTAGACCTTGTTCATGCATGATTGGGTTGTTTCGGGAGAGGATCTCTGCCGTGTCGGAGTTCTGTATTACTAGGTATGCAGGGGCAATTATCTATTCCTGTCGGTGAGGAAACTATAAGGATGAAAATCAAGATGACCTGAGAAAATCATTTTTTGGGACAAGGAAACTTGCGTGATGGTGCGCCGTCGATTTACCTCCTCTTGAGTCTTGGCATGGCAAGACCCAAATTACCTTGGCGGGCGGAGATATAAACTTAAACCTTACTTTGGTTGCAACAGAACCTGAGAGATGCTAAACAGCCGGTGTGCTCGCGGCCTTCGAAGTGGCGTCTTGTATAGGTAGGTGATATGTGCATGCCTTGAGTCTTCAGAGACTCTGTTCTTATACGCCACCTCAAGGTGTCACACGTTCTGGACGAGTGCGCTCTACTATGGATGCAGCGCTTACAGCATATGGAAATATGATATGGACACAATTTCAGGGAGAGAGCCGTGCTGCATGAACACAATGTTGAGGAGGGAGACACTAAGTAGACTTATACACGTCGGGATGCAGGCCTTCATAGATAGCTCGATATTGCGAAATCATAATAGCTCTGTATCTGTCCGTGGCCTTATGATAAGCCGGATGAGCTTAGTAATGCCCTCTTCAGCATTCAATCTGCTCCCTCGTTCTTTCAAATAATCAGTGTCTAATATCTTAAGCCTAAGAGTAAGCAGCAAATATCAGACTCTACTAGTTTCATCTGACCCACCTAGTAGTAACGTGTCACACCTTTACAAGTAGCCCTTAGAAATCACTCACGACCTTGAGGGTCCTATTATTCAGCTCCGGCTTCTAAGTCCTTAGCCTACTTTACTGAAACCTTAGAGACCTTATAGGTTAGGCCCTCAGGTAGCCCCTTTACGTATCTACGAACCGTTTCGAGGACCTTATTAGTCTTAGGATCGACAAAATCTATGCGGTTATAACCTCCTTCGTCGTAGCGTCGTACTAGACTCCTAGTTTAATCTCCTTAAGGTTAATAAGCTCGCTTACCGGTACCTTATCACCCTTACGGACTAGGATAACGTTAAAGTATCCACTACCTAGAAGGAGGGAGGCGTAGCTTTTAAGGTCCTTATCGGTTATCGTCGCCGTAAACTGATTATCGGCCTCTACGCGCTCGAGTATCTTATTATGTTTCTCTAAGGCTTTCTTACGGTTCTCGCGGAAGCACTAGTCAGCCTTAACCGCCTCTTTAACTACCTCTTCATCGATACTATCATCATCCTCCTCCTCCTCCTCCTCCTCCTCCTCCTCGTCATCCTCATCATCCTTATCATCATCGTCATCACTATACTCATCACCCTCATCCACCTCTTCTACCTCACTATTAGAAACGGCCTTTATATGACCTAGAGCGCGGGGTACCTAGAGGTAGGTCTACCGAGGTCGTAGTCTAGTAATATAAGGCTAGGTTACGTAACGTATATAACTACCGAAAGAGGAAAGAGACGATATAGCGATATATTAGTATAGACTATATTAATATATTAATATACTATTTCCGGTTACCTATTTAGGATATACCTTATAAGTATATAGCTACGCTTATTCCCCTTTTATAGTTATACTCTCTCGTAGCTAACTTATAATATCTACTTTACTATACTATTCTAAAGTTACTCGACTATTTATACCTTACGTACTCTCGACCTAGCTTATATAATAAAGGAACTGTAACTAAGGAAGCCTAACTA